CCAGGTTTTGTGAACAGTGTTAAGTGTTGCTTAATAATAATAATAAGAAGAGATTGGATTTATACCCCGCCCTTCACTTGGAGTCTCAGAGCGGCTTACAAACTCCTTTCCCTTCCCCTCCTCACAACAGACACCCTGTGAGGTGGGTGGGGCTGAGAGAACTCTGACACAAACTGCTCTTTTTCAAGGACAGCTGTGCCAGAGCTTGTGACTGACCCAAGGTCACATCAGCAGGTGCAAGTGGAGGAGTGGGGAATCAAACCCGGTTCTCCCAGGTTAGAGTCCGCACACTTAACCACTACACCAAAATGATGGTAAATGGGTGAGGGAAGTGAGGCTGGGTGTGGATGAAGTTAGTCCAAGGTGAGGAGATAGTTTCTCAGGAGACCCATTGTCCTAACTTATGTGCCTCCCTAGGGTGGGGAGGAGGTCGTTAGCTGGCCAGCCGCTCTTTCCTACACTTCTAAGCTATATGTCCAGACTTGTCTCTGGCTGACATCCATTTGGTGTTATTTTGGGCCAGGCAGTGAATTGCACTTATGATATTTGAAATGATATTGTTGGAAGGGTGTTTATGACTTTCTAGCTATAAACTGCCTCTCGATGAGAGGAAGGGTCTGACTGCTAACACTGCAAAAGGGAGAGCAGAAAGAGATCCTTTCTCTCCCTTCCCCTCCAAGCTGGGCAGGGGCGGAAGCAATGCAGGGATAGGAGAAAGCTCTGGTCTCTTTCCTCCTCTGCAGGCCAAGCTGACAGCTTGTGGTGGGGAGAAGAGAAAGGAAATCCCAGTAGCTACATTCCAGGTTTTATGGGATCCTGAAGACCGGCATGCACCACGACATTACAGCAACATCCGTTACATGGAATGCGACCCTAAGTGGAATTACACCAGTCTAAGTGCACTGAAAGCAATGGAGTTAGAAGAATCACAGAATCTTAGAATAATAGATTTGGAAGGGATCTCCAGGGTCATCGAGTCCAATCCCCTGCACAATCCAGGAAATTCACAAATACCTCCCTCTCCACACCCCCAGTAACTGCTGTTCCACGCCCAGAAGATGACAAAAAACCTCAAGGATCCCCAGCCAAACTGGCCTGGAGAAACATTGCTTCCTGACCCCAAAGTGGCAATCAGCATTTCCCTGGGCATGTAAGAAAGGGCCACGAGAACTAAGCACTAATGCAACCCTTCCTGCCCTACCTCTTATGATCTGCCTAAGTTCACAGAAGGCTGTAATTATGCTTAAGACTGCACTGTTGGTTGGTTAGGTTGATAATGTTCCTCTTTCTAATTGGGTAACTTTAAAAAAAAAGGTAATTAGATTTAATACGCCCTGATCTGGATAGCCCAGGCTAGCCTGATCTTGTCAGGTTTCAGAAGCTAAGCAGGGTCGGCCCCGGTTAGTACTTGGCTGGGAGACCACCAAGGAAGTCCAGGGTTGCTACACAGAGGCAGACAGTGGCAAACCACCTCTGTTCATCTTGCCTTGAAAACCCTACAGGGTCACCATAAGTCAGCTGGGACCTGACAGCAAAAACAAAAAAGTTTTAATACGAGTGCTTCCAGAAATATATATTGTTACCTTGCACACCCATATGCCTATACAATTCCAAATTAATTTAATCAATTAATTAGCTCACATCTCTGTAGCTATACATAAATCCAAAATCGACAGATGCATCCCCCCAAAATAAACAACTTGATAAAAACGGCAGCGGGCAAGTGCTTGTTCCCATTTATTTTGTTGGACTGTTTCCATTCCTCTTTTCCGCTTATCAGAAAGAGTCCCAACCAAAGCATTAAAAAAAATCATAAAATGACAAGCAGCATAAAACAACAGCTTTTAGGAAATCCCTCTGGAAGACACACATACAAGAGTGCTAAAATCTGTTTCAATGAGTTACCTAAAATAAAACAGAGCAGGTGCTGTCTGGGCTCGTGATGGATACATGGCAACCTGACAACTTTCCGACTTTAAAGTGATGGATGCCTGGTGACCTTTAGATTCCATAGTTCTTGCCTTCTGAAGGCCACAGCGACTTCTGAGTTATTTCGCTAATCTTTGCTGGAACCAAGACACCCCTTTTCTGTTTTGACAGTTAATGCCTGGCTGAGAGTCAAGGCTAGAAGTGTCTAGTTGTTATGAAAACTGAAACAAGCTTTTTCAGTGGAGACTGCATATAAAGCGGGATGGACTCTCAAGGAAGGGAGTCATGGCTCGCAGAGGAGAGAGCGAGAGGCATTTGTGCTAAAGTTCAGAAGCTGTATACCTGGTTTCTGCAAATCAGTGTTTCAAACATACCTTTCCTGAACCCAAACCCAAAGAGAGCTTTCCTGAAGGAATGGTTCTCATTCTGCTTTGAGGCTTAAACAGAAATCGCCAAGGTATCTGGGCTTCTCATCAAGAGTTGCCCTTACTTCTCATAGTTTGCACCCCCTCACAGAAGGGCTGTACGTGATAAGGGTCTCACGTGAAAGGCACGCATGAAGCTGCCTTATAGTAAATCAGAACATCGTTCCATCACAGTCAGTATTGTCTACTCAGACTGGCAGTGGGGCTCCAGGGGCTCCGGTTAGAGGTCCTTCATATCACCTACCAGCTGGTCCTTTCAACTGGAGATGCTGGGGATTGAACCTGGAACCTTCTGCATGCAAAGCAGAGGCTCTTCCACTGAGCCACAGCCCCTCCCCTAAAGATAAATAACAGGTGTGAAAAATTTCAATATATATTGAACCTATGCCTTATACTAAATCAGACCCTTGATCCATCAAAGTCAGTACTGTCTAATTAGTTTGGCAGCTGCTCTCCAGGGTCTCAGGCAGAGGTCATTCACATCACCTCCTGCAAGACTTTTAACTGGAGATGCTGGGGTTTGAACCTGGGACCTTCTGTTTGCCAAGCAGATGCTCTACCACTGAGCCATGGCCTCTCCCTATTGTTGTTCTGGAACTGTGGTACCACCAAACTGAAGCTCTCATTCCCAGACATCACTCACCTAAGATTGGGAGGCAGAAGCATTTAGAACAGGGATAACCTACGGGAGACTGTCCTCTTTCATGTAGGAAAGAATGTCTCTTCTGTTGCTAGCGGTGCACAAATCATCCACACTAATGAAAATAATCTTATTTTTTTCCTACAGAGATATTTGATTTTAATAGGGCAATCCATGCAGATTTAATCAGCTAATTACTCTATTAAAACTCATGTAATTAATTGACTTCTTTAATTGGGTGACAGCCCTCAGATAAATAGGTCTGGGACTCCAAGGGATATAGATATTCATTGAGCTAAGAGGAGACCTGGAGGGAGATTTTAATTTGCTTTGCCTCTTGACCTGCCTGAAAAAATAAAAATAAAATACATGTCCAGTTTTTGTTTCTCAGTTTTCCCCTGATTAACCTCCCCACTCATTATCTCTAGTTGCAAGATCCTCCTCTGTTCATGCCCTTGCTATTTTATTTATTCAAGTAGGTATACCCATGGGTCATTTCCTGCAGGAGCGCACAGGAGCGGAGCTCCGGCAGTAACGAGCTCAGGGGGTGGGCACATACAACAAGCCCCACCCCCTGCTCCCAGCAGCCCTCAGTCAGAGCAAGAAGCAGCCAGGTAAGTTGCAGAGCTCCCCCTGGCCCAAAACAGTCCAGTGGCACCTTTAAGACCAAGTTTTATTCAGGTACAAGCTCTCCCTCCACTGGGAGGACAGATCTGCACATCCCCCCCCCAATAGCTAGCAATCCAAAACAGTCCAGCGAAGCCTGAGCGGTGGATGTTGCCTTCTGACACAGTTCCGGTGATGTCAGGGGGTGTGGCATGTGCAAATGAGTTACGCTAATGAGTTATGCTAATGAGCTCCTGCACCACTTTTTCTACGAAATGACCCCTGGGTATACCTGTGCTTATAACTATTAGATCACCACTGTGGCTTAATGCAACAGCGAACCATCAAGGATCAAAAAAATGACAACATTGATGCCAATGCCATAGTCCTCCAAGGCAAATAAAAACACCACCATCTGCTCAACCACAGTCAAGGTGAGCCAGGCCAGCAAATGTGCCCTAACAGAATATTCTGAACTGGTTTCTTAACAACTAAAGGCAACAAAGTCATGCTGGACACGTTCAGGAGAAGGTTCCACAACTTTAGTGGATCCATTGAAACAAACCCTAACACCCAGGGTTGCCAGCTTTGAGTTTGGGAATACGTGTAGATTTGAGGGTGGAGCCTGGGAGGGAGGGGTTTAGGGAGGGGAGGGACCTTGGTAGGGAATAATGCCACGCAGTCCACCTTCCAAAGCAGCCATTTTTGCCAGGAGAAGTGGACCAAATGCTTTAAATAAATAAATAATAAGTGGTTTATGTAGTCAGGAGATCAGTTGTAATTCCAGGGGGTCTCCAGCCCCCACCCGAAGGTTGGCAACCCAATCACTCTTCTTGCTTCACCTCTAATACTGGGAGCAGATCAAGGTCCAACGTATGGCAACCAATCTGGGAGTTCTTACAAAATATTCACAATGGGAACACACAAATATACCCTTTCCATTTCTGTTGTGTTTTGCACACCATTGTGGCCCTGACCTGGATGGATAGCCCAGGCTAACCGGATCTCATCAGATCTCAGAAGCTAAGCAGGGTCAGCACTGGTGAGTGTTTGAATGGGAGACCACCAAGGAACTCCAGGGTTGCTATGCAGAGCCGGACAATGACAAACCACCTCTTTTCAGTTCCTGCCTTGAAAACCCCACAGGGTCACCGAAAGTCAGTTGTGACTTGACGGCCTTTTCCACCACCACCACTACACCATTACGAGCTTTTCCACTTTGTCTATTATTTTGTTTCTCATTTTTTGTTTTGTTTCAATTACACCCACTATACACCATATATGTTTATAAGGAACAGATGCTAAAAAAGTATCAATTGTCATGTTGATAATCCTATTGATTTAGATTGGGGAGAACCCTTGTCAGAAAATGCAGATGCAATGAAAACATCCCTACTTACCAGCCAATGTTGAACTCAACATGAGCATCGAAGAAACCAACCACCGGGGACGTTGCTGCTTTCCAGCCCTGGATTCTAGCTCGAATCAGGCCCTCTCGTTTGTTGTTGCGCACTATTTTCACCAGCCCTGGATATCTCTTGTGCACATACTGGTCCAAGTTAAACTTCAATTCCACTACAAAAGAAAGAGACAAAAAGATTTTATTGGAATTCATGTCCATTTGTTTCGCATCCTCCATTCCAATACAATAAAAACTGCAATAAAGAAGGCCAATGCTATGCTGGGGATTATTAGGAAGGGTATTGAAAACAGATCAGCCAATATCATAATGCCCCTATATAAATCAATGGTGAGACCTCATTTGGAATACTGTGTGCAATTCTGGTCACCACACCTTAAAAAGGATATTATAGCTTTGGGGAAAGTGCAGAAAAGGGCAACTCGAATGATAAAAGGGTTGGAACACTTTCCCTATGAGGAAAGGTTAAGGCGCTTAGGGCTCTTTAGCTTGGAGAAACTACGACTGAGGGGTGACATGATCGAGGTTTATAAGATTATGCAGGGGAAAGAGCAGGTAGAGAAAGAGGTACTTTTCTCCCTTTCTCACAATACAAGAACTCGTGGGCACTCCATGAAATTGCTGAGCGGTCGGGTTAGAACAGATAAGAGGAAGTACTTCTTCACCCAAAGAGTGATTAACATTTGGAATTCACTGCCACAGGAAGTGGTGGCGGCTACAAGCATGGATGGCTTCAAAAGGGAATTAGATAAGCATATGGAGCAGAGGTCCATCAGTGGCTATTAGCCACAAGGTACAGATAGGGGCTCTGGGGCAAGTGATGCTCTGTCTTTTTGGTGCTTGGGGGGGGGTCAACAGTGGGAGGGCTTCTAATGTCCTGGCCCCACTGGTGGACCTCCTGATGGCACTGGTATTTCTGGCCACTGTGTGATACAGAGTGTTGGACTGGATGGGCCTTTGGCCTGATCCAACATTGGCATCACTTATGTTCTTATGTTCTTATCTCTCTTTTTCTGACTGGCGGGTCATCATGCGAATAATAAAATCAACGCAGTGGAGCCATCCTGAGACAAGTTAGTGGTCTTTACTTGAATAACTCCCCAGACAGACAGAAAATTAAACAAAACTTTTTCAAAGTCCTTAATTGCCTTTTCAATGAGGGCTAAATGTTCTCTGGAAGGGATGGGATATTGAGAACATCTGAGTGTCAGTTAAGAGATATGAGGAGATCAGCCTGCAAGTCTCTCAAAGCTGGAAGAATCCAGAATTTTGGAGAGTGGGATTTCCAAATTATTCCCATCTCCTGAGTTCACATTTTCTACATAAAGCAAACCGATGGAGGAATTGGAATGATATTAGGATTACCCAGGGCTATTTTTGGGCAGGAACGCACAGGAACGGAGTTCCGGCTGGCTCCCAAGTTGGCCACACCCAGCAGGAACTCATTAGCATAATAGGCCACACCCAACAGCAGAAACTCATTAGGACTGGCTACATTAGGGGTGTGTGGCCTAACATGCAAAGGAGTTCCTGCTACAAAAAAGCTTGGGTTTTGACAACAAACAAGGTAAACAGAATAAGAAGCAAAAGGTGGGTGTGGCTGGATAACCACACTTCTGGTAACATGGGGGTGTGGCCTAATGTGCTAATGAGTGTTGCTGTCAGGGGTGTGGCCTAATATGCTAATGGTTTTCTGCTGTTGGGTGTGGCCTATTATGCTAATGAGTTCCTGCTGCGCTTTTTCTACAAAAAGAGCCCTGGACCAGATTGTCCACCATGGCACTCTCCTGTCCTTGCTAGCTCTCCCATGCTCTTGCTTGTGCTCACAGCAGGAGAAAACTAGGAGGGGATGACGTCACAGATGTGGGAATGTCACTTCCAACCACCATGTCCATGACACTCTAGACATTTCTCTAGTCTTTATGGTCTTTACCACAAAGATTGAGGGAATTCGTAGAGTGCCACAGTGTGTTTGTGTTTATTGACATGGGTGATCACCATAAAATGACATTCTCGTATTAATGATGCTTCTTCTCCATGCCCCGGCTTCCAGGTTTCCAGAGGCTGTCAGAGCAAAGCTGGCAACCCTAAGTGATATAGATAAAACCATCAGAGATGCCTAATTTGACCCACTGCATCCTAGGACAGACAGGTAGAGTTAGTGTGTCTGTCAGAGGGAAACAGACAAGTTCACTTATGAAGCAAAGGGACGCAACTCCTTGCCCTTACGGTGTAACATCAAATCTGAGGAAAAGATCCAAAAAAGAACTTTAGTCTAAGCTTCAGCCAAGCTGAAAACTGTTTATTTCACTGGGTTAAGAACTGAGGGTCAGTTTCAGCAAGATTAGTCAGTAGGTTGAAGCTGCCTGTCTAGCCAAACAGAAAAGGAATGTTGCTTCTAGGAAAAGGAGAATATTTTCTTCTTAGCTATTCAGTGGGTTCAATTCTGAAGGGACCCCTGGACTGGGTGAAAAAGGAAACGGTCTTAGACTCCTCTAGAGTCAAAGGGAAAGTTGTCATCCCAAAGGAAGGGAGAATAAGTACAGGAAGAAAGTACTAATCTCCAGGAAACTAAGATAGTTATTTGCATCTTTATTAAGACACACTGTTGCTGCTAAGAAATCTCCAAGACAAACAAACCTCTCGCTGTTAAGAACTGAGTCTCTAAGAAACCAAGCTTCAACAATATTTTGTAGCCTGTTTAAAATATCATCATTTGTAAATACAACAGAATTTATGTCAGTTTTCTCATTCCCTGCCTATTCCTACTCCAACTGTGCCCGTTTAACAAAATCATCATTCCTGTTCGAACTTTACTTCATGTCAGGTGCCATTTACAAAGGAAATGACAAGTGGACTCCTGCTTATCTATAATAAATCTCTGCCCTGGCCAAAAGCCAAATATCTTCTCTGCCACAGGATGGGACACTCAGAAAGTCATAAACCGTTTATTACCACATGCTACCAAGGTGCTGCTCAGGCAGAGTGGGGAACAGCTATTTAGTGTTTTGGCGGGAAAATCTGACTCACAGAAAAAAATGTAGCAGGGGTCCATCAGGCTACCCATTAAGTTCCATGGAGAGAACATTTCTATGTGTTCATTTTGGGAGGGGTACTGCATAAGTGCCCTTTCCAATCGCATGAAACAGAAATTCTGCAGGAGTGATGTGCAGAAATCAAGACAACAAAAGAGGACATAACTCAGTGTCAGAACATGTGACTGGCATGCAATCTCCACAGAGGCAAACTCATGTAAAGGAGTGCTTAGTTGCATCCAAATAATTTTTTAATTAACAGCTTTCTCTAGGGACAAATGGTGGCAAAACACATGCATATCCTACAAAACAGACACAAACAAACAAACAGCTGTTGCATATGTTCACCGTTGTCACTGTTGTCGTCCACCAGAATAATCTCCTTCAGCAAGTGGGATGGTGTGTGATTCACAACACTGTGCACCGAGCGCAAGATGACAGACAGGGCCTCATTGACAAAAATAAAGACCACCGAGATCTGGGGGAGGTCCTCGGGGTAGGACATCTGCTTGCACCTAGAGAGAGCAAAGGAAAAGCTAAGAGCCACCGTGTGC